GTTTCAGTCTCCTTTTAATCTGTGTAAAACCCTATCGCACCGTAAAGCAACCGGGTGTAAACGTTCCCCTTGATAAAACTGACTGATTTCAATCTCCGGAGTATAACAGTTGCCCCACGACGAAGAGAAATATCCGATGGTGGGATAGGTTATATTCAGTTTGCGGAACTGAGACAAATAACAAAAAATCTTCATTTGACAATTTATTTATCTCAGTTCCGCAAACTGAATATAACCNTGATTGACTTCATTTTGATTATATCTCAGCATCGCTGTTGAAAGTTGAACGATTTATTGAATACCCATAGAAATATCAATTTCAAGGTTAACAAATGAATTTCCGTGATAATCTTCACCATGAAATTCTCGCGACATTCACTAGGTCCGTCTGACAAACCTTGTCGAAGCGCTTCATGGGCACACCGGAGCGGTTCTCTTTATATTTCATTTTTCAAATTCATGCTACTCACAAGTAGTACAATTTTCACGCACGGTTTACAATCCATTCGCATTAAGATTTTCGGAAATAAAATTGACCCATGGTTTTCATCTATCTTAGTTGCATAACTAGCTTGACTTAATTTGGGTTACGCTACATATTCCACATTATAAAAAATATCTTCATTTATTTTCGTTAATAAACACCGCAGTTGGGTCCAGCAGCTAAGGAACTTTTTCAGATCAGGACAAATCTATTTGGAAACGGCAGAAGATGGAAGTCGAATTTAGCAATAAAAGATTCGAGTGAACTAACATGATGAATTTGAACTCTTGACTTGAACTATCGTGTCTCCATAAAAGAGCTGAATCTAATTTTTCAATAATGAAAATGTTAATCAGCCAATTGGATTCCTATCAGATTAGTTAGAGATGTAATAAAAAATGTAGTTTTAATATCTTAGATCTATCTATGATTGTCTAAATATATAGAAACATTTGTCCTTTGAAAAGTACAAGAGAAACTTGGAGTACACAATGCAAACTACTTCTCTCAATCATCATCAGTTTAACTATTGTGACGAGTTGAGACTGGCATTGCCAAGGGCCAACGAAGGACAGGAATTACGTTTGAAAGGGATTCTACTTTCCAGATGGGGGAAGCAATTGCACTTTGCAATGTCCTTTGTCATAGTCAAAATGGAATAGAACCTATACAGAAGACACCGAATCAGCAGCAGGATTTCTTCATACTTAACTCGTTTGTTTAAGGCAGACGCTCGATGTGCTTCATTGGAGCTGAAATTCTTATGGACGACGAAAAACATCACAGGATAGCTTAAAATCACCATATCCGAATAAGTAGTCCATTCCGAAAACGATGTTGTTTCTTCAAAGGAATTTTTCCGGTCTATATCTGTCTGTTTCCTATTGCATAGCTACAATACTAGAGTTTCTCGAAAAATGCGTTGTGTTGGGTTGTCCCTGACTGACGGTACCTCATGTCGAAATTGGGGAAATGGATTGTGCATTATTCCATGGCGATTGTTCACGGAATATTCGTCAATTATTTAGAAAACAAGTCCAATATTTACTAGATTAGTGGCATGCTTGTCGCCGGTTAGACTCCGGAATATCACAGGGCTATAAAACACTTATAGAGGAACTTAAACCAGCGTAAGAAGGAGTACATGGAGGTGATTTTCAAGTTCACGTGCCAGAGTATTTTGCT